TCACAATTATTCCAATTGCATTTAATGGGCTTGAAATACTTTAGATGGCCATATTTAACAGCAAATAAGCCTTGGGAAATGTAGATGCTTAATTCTAGATGGCAATGTGCTCAGGTGAGGAACCAGGTTTTGGTTAGAACAGAGGCTGGATTAGAAGGCAGAGAGCAATCCACCCACCTACATTAGCGAGTATATGGGGAGAATTAGAATTCCTACAGGCACCAAGCCCCTACAGCACTCCACACATACCACATGCCCAGTAAATTATACCTTTATTTTCTGTCATATAAAAAAGTTAAACTGCTGAAAATAGACCTGTGTTCTTAATTTCTTTTATAGCTGCCAAAATGCACGGACCAGGGTTCTCAACCTTGGCAATACCATGGGAGCCCCCATTACAACTCTTGCAGTGCAGGGCTGTCCTGGGGGCTTTGTGGGTTGTTTATCAGCATCCTGACCTCCACCCACCTGATGCCTGTGACCCTCCAACACCACCTGTGACAACCAGAAATGTCTCCAGCCATTGCTAAACGTCCCCTTGGGAGCAAAATCACCCCAGGCTGAGAACCACTGCCTAAACCTACGCTGGACAACAGGTCACTGCTCTATGTGATCTACAAGTTGAATGGTGCTAAAGACCCTTGAGTTTGTAATGCTGACTTCATTATGGAGAACTGAGTATAGGACAAACATGTAGATTTTCCAAATGAGTAAAAAATAATCTTGCTAAGTTACATAGATATAAAATGGATTATGTATTACTTTTTTCGTAAAGGTAATGCAGTAAAGATGTGCTTTGGGGGAGGAAAAAATGTAATGCACAGGCTTTATTCATTCACTCCTTCATCACGAATATTTGTTGAGCAACTAGTATGTGCCAAACAGCATTCTAAGCTACAAGAGGAGAGGACACAGCACAGTCGACAAAGAAGGAAGAGTCAGTGCCCTCAAAGAGCTTACTTTCTGGTGAAGGAGACAGAGTCTGAGAGAGAAAGCAAGAACTCTACAACGTCACGCGTCAGGGTGCAAACGAAGCATGTAATGGCGGGGAGGGGGTGATCTGGGAACGCAAGGCTGAGAAGGTGCACGTGTGCTGAGGTGTGAATGAGGGGAGGGGGGACCTGGGTGTCTCTCTGAGAAAGGGGAGCTCCGGGTGGGGGTAAAAGTAGGAGGAGATCAGGTAGGGGAGACAGAGCGATGGAGACACAGGGCCAGTGCCTGGGTCTGAGCAAGACGGAGAGATACCAAAGGTGTAAGGCGGAGAGCCGCGTGACTCAGCTTAGATGGCTAGAGGGTCTTTCCAGGAGCCCTGTGGAGATGACATTGTTTGGGGCAGAAGCAGCAGCTTGGAGACACAACAGGACGCTTGTGCATGGGCCGGGCAGGAGGTGACAGCACACTGGACAAGGGGCGGGGTGGGGGCACTTAGATGGGAGGAACAGATCATATTTGTAGATGGCAGCCGGACAGGATGAGCGTGTGTGGTTTCTACAAAACATTATGTAATCCTTATCTTTTAAAACATATTCAGAAAGTTATATCATTACTACTTCCAGGTTTTATTTGTTACTTGTCTGTCCCAATATTTGCTCAAAACGGGTTTTCTTTTTTTTTTTTTTTTAATTTTAATTTTTTTTTTTTTTATTTTAATACCATATATTACATCATTAGTTTTTGGTGCAGTGTTCCATGATTCATTGCTTGTGCATAACACCCAGTGCTCCATGCAGAACGTGCCCTCCTCAATACCCATCACCAGGCTAACCCATCCCCCTCCCCCCCTCCCCTCTAGAACCCTCAGTTTGTTTTTCAGAGTCAAAACGGGTTTTCAAGTGGTTGATCTCCGGGCAGCAGGATGGAGAAGGCAGCGTTCCAAACTCCGGCATATGCATGCCCCCCCCAACCCCTTTGCTGAGGGATTCCAGAACTATTATCAAATAGGTATGTGCCTGAATGTCCCCATCTGTAAAATGGAGTTACCATCACTCACGCTTCACCTCATTAACCTAAAGAAGAAGAGCCAAAGACTCTACAGGTTCCCCAAATCTCGAAAGAAATGCAAACCGTACTTAGCTGCAAACGTATCCGCGGGGATCACACCCAGAGGAGATAAATTTTGATTAGCATGTAAGATTCATTCCCAAAGATCCAGACTAAAGACAACCCTTAAACTTATGTTAGCTTTGTACTGTACTCCAAAGTTTCTGTTGGGGTTAGCTGTGACTTATTAATGCATTCTTTGCTTCCAGGCAAAAGGAACTGATTTCTTTTCTTGTGAAATGCAGTCTCTCATGTCAGCCTTGATCATTCACTGAGAAGATATGGTTTAACAACCTGCAGTCCTGGTGGGGGACCGGGGGGGGGTCTTTAATGAGGACACTTAAAAACATAGTTCACATGGAACTTTTCCATTCAAATTTCTTTTAAATGGATAAAAAAGAATTTCTTAATGGAATAAGGAGGAAAGGGGCTGCTTAAATGAGAGAGAATACTGGTAATTCATGTAATTCATTTCTCCCCAAGATTTAGTAAGTCGGAGCTAAGCAAAGCTCACTTTCATCACATTATTTCACATTTCACCTAAGAATTCTGTTCCATTTTTAATAATATGCCCGCGTATTAAATGACATAATGTGTGCATGGATGTTGGAATGGATCGTTATAATCAAGTTTTTGGTTCAGGAATATTATTCTACAATCATGGACTGTGAGATAATGTGTTTTAAAGACCTTTCAAAACAATAACGTTCTTCATAAATATGCAATTTCAGCATTATGTGTTGCTCACAAAAATCTTAGTTATGAAATAAAGAACTGTATCGATTTTAAGTCTAATAGTCATGTTTTTGTTTTAAAGATTTTATTTATTTATTTGACAGGGAGAGACACAGTGAGAGAGGGAACACAAGCAGGGGGAGCGGGAGAGGGAGAAGCAGGCTCCCCGCTGAGCAGGGAGCCCGATGCGGGGCTCGATTCCAGGACCCTGGGATCATGACCTGAGCCGAAGGCACACGCTTAACGACTGAGCCACCCAGGCGCCCCTAATAGTCATGTTGATGAAATGAATCTCATCAAACACTATTAGGATCCCAAAGTTGCCAATATTTTCAGCCAGTAGTAAACTTTAGTTATTTATATACCACATATTACAAACACACACACACACACACACACACACACACATATGTATACATATTACATATATTCTTTTTTAAAAAGTTGCAATGTTTTGGGATTGCGGTAAAATGTACACTATTAAATGTATGAATGAATATAATGACAACTTCAGAGTGTGTGTGGACAGCGAGGAATACTCAGAAATAGAAAAGAGACTTTTTAATTTAAAGAGTCAAATGATTTAACCAGCAATTCTAAAAGTTCTGCAAGCAGTTCCAACTTGCGCGTGGATGGGTGGGCGCAGTTTCTGCAAACATCCACCTAGTTCTCCAACATCGGCTGAGTGTCCTACAAATTAACTCACTTCTGACTCTACCTGGTGACCGTGTCAGATCCCATGGGTTAAGGGCTTGGTCCCACAGGCTGCTCCCCACCCCTCTGCCGTGCCCTCCCCCACCCCCACTTCAATGCCAATCACAAGTCCCAGATGTCACCTGTGCTTTTTGCCTAACCTGCTGTAGATGGGAGGGTCCCAATGACCCCCTCGTCGGCTTCCATTCATTTGCTAGGGTGGCTCAGCAGAACATGCAAGCAACACTTTACTTACCAGATCACTTTAGATGGGTTTATTCTTTAGGGATATTAGCTCAGGAGCAGGCAGATGGAAGAGATGCACAGGGCCAGGCACGGGGAAATGGCAGGGAGCTTCCAGGGACACCACCTGTCCCCAGATCTGCATCTGCACTTGTTTCATACGTGGGAGCCCTCCGAACCCCCTCCTTTTTTGTTTTGCTTTAAATGGAGGCCTCACTATCTAGGCATGATCGATTAAATCATTGGCCATTGGTGACTGAATCAACCTCTAGCTCTCTCCCCTCCCTGGAAATCAGGGAGTGGTCCTGAAAGGTCCAACCCTCTATTCAGGGTTGGTTCTGCCTAGCAACCAGCCCCCATCCTTAGCTGTGTTCCAAAAGTCACCTCATTCACATAAACCCCACTGTGGTGGAAAGGGGCTTGTTATGAGTAACAAGACACTCATTCACCCCTGAGGCTCCAGTGGGATTTTAGAAGCTGAGGGACAAGACACCAAATATAACAAAAGATGGTCCCCTTGCTCTTATTGCTCAGAAAGTCCCAAGGCGGGGGGCGGGGGGCACCTGGGTGGCTCAGTCATTAAGCGTCTGTCTTCGGCTTAGGTCATGATCCCGGGGTCCTGGGATCGAGCCCCGCGTCGGGCTCCCTGCTCCGCGGGAAGCCTGCTTCTCCCTCTCCCCCTCCCCCTGCTTGTGTTCCTGCTCTCACTCTCTCTCTCTGTCAAATAAATAAATAAAATCTTAGGAAAAAAAAAAAAAAGAAAGTCCCAAGGGTTTGGGGAGCTGTGAGCCGGGAACCGTGGAAAAAGATCAAATATATGAAGAGTATATTCTCATCATCTGAATGAATATGTACATGTCTTATAAATCACAATATCACAAATTCCTACAAACAAAACTACATACAAAATAGCTTAAGTGTAAGTAGAAAGAATGCAGTAAATCTTCTGGTCTAACCAAAAGATGTTTTCTCCTTAAAATGTTTTTGGATTAAAAAATTAGAGAGAGAGAAATAAGGCAATATATAGAAAAACTGGTATGTGTATCTTGATTGCAGTGGTGGGTAAACTAATTGAATCTACAAGTGATAAAATGTCATAGGATGATACACGTACATTGTACCAATGTCAATTTCCTGCTTTTGACATTGTCCTACAAATATGGGAAGTGTAACTTTTGGTGGAAACTGGATGAAGAATATGTGTAATTTCTCTGCAACTTCCTCTGACTCTAGAATTATTCCAAAATTAAAGGTTTTTAGAAATATTGATACAGTTGTAGGGAACGTACCTTAGAACATTGCTTGTGATTCTGGCACCAAATCAGGGAACCATTGTTCTGCAAAAAGAAAAAGAAATATTGGCTCATTGAGTAATTTTCTAACTGATAACTAAATACTGTATCATTTTTCAATATCGTCCTTAACAAAAGACCAATTTTGCCACCCTGATGTTCTCTCTTCCCAAAATAGAAAATGGGTTTCTAATGTAAGTCCAATTTCATCCTTGACTTCATGATAGAAACAGAAACATATGAAATAAAGATTTCAAGCTGCCTAAAAGGAAAAGTGTCTGAGCCACCTCTCCTGGTGTGCTGAGCTATGAGATGCAGACCAGCAGGAAAATGAACGCTAGACATTTCTCCCGCAGTAAGCAGTTTTGGTAAATTTACAAGTCAGAGGCTTTTCATCTCCACCCATTCACAGTAATAAGAGTTTGAGCTTGGGAGTCAGCTTTTACCGAAAAGTCTTCTCTTTCCCTATCACCGGATGTGTGACTGTGGACAAGGGACTTGCTATCCCTGTAGCTCAGTTTATCCATCTGTAAAATGTAACACTATCTCATGCATGAGGTCACTGGCATAAGGAAACAATACACATACACCACTTAGCATGGCTCGATAATTCACTCAGTATGGAAGAAATATCAGAACTATGGTTCATTGTATCTAACACCCACATTTCTGCGGGGAAGCCTGTCATTCCCCATGACTAACATCTTGGTCATGACTTCTCCTTTGGCTGGGATATGTTATGTCACAGTGTGTGAGGCTGGGGTGGTTGGGCTCTTACTATCTCTTACTGGAGATCTCTTACTGGTATCTCTTACCGGAGATAGTAAGAGCCATCAACCCGTATGGTTTATCGTGAATTTTGAGAACATCATCTTCTATCCAGAGAACAGTAGTGTTACATCTGTCCTCTGTTCATCAGAGAAAAGAAAATTAAACCAATATATCTTTTTAAAAATATTTTTATAACAAGTCCCTGGAGACAGAATTCATACATGTGAAGCGCACTTCATTTAAAGTATACACACCAATGGTTTGTACTAAGAAGTATATTCTAAATACTGAGAAGTGTATTCACAAGGCCGTGCAACCATCACCACTATCTAATTGTTGAACACTGTCACCAACCCCAGAAAGAAACTTGGATCCATCAGTAGTCAGTCACTCTCCCAACTCCCTCCCTCTACCCCTTGGCAACCACTGATTTACTCTCCTTCTCTGTAGAGTTGACCGATTCTGGAAATTTCGTGTAAATGGAATTGTAGAGCACGTGGCCTTTTGTGTCTAGATTCTTCCACGTGGCATCACGGTTCACATCTGGCTAAACGGTACCGTGTTCTGCTTTGCCTATATTGCCGCGAAAATCAATACTTCCTTCCTTTTTGTCTGATTTCATCGTATGGATAGATCACATTGCTCTCTTCTACTCCCAAGAATCTATCTTAATATATCCCACTTCCAGTAATGTATCTTCATAATGTAGGATTCCCACTGAATCCATCTCAACTGCATAGGATCAGAAAGTTTCCTCCGCTGGGCTCAGATCGTCGGGCTAAAAGCCCGCAGCCCCGTGTGAAAGCTGCAGCTATGAAATCTACCGTATGGCCCTAACTCTCCTTTGCAGCCTTGCATCCCCAAAACCACAACTCAGACCTACAATTTCAGCTAATCTGGCATTAACCTTCCAGTCCCCCGACTGACCTCTGCACATCCTCAGTGCACCCTCAGCTCTCGCTACATCTCAAGGTTCACTGGACGGACAAAAAGGACCAAAGCTGGGGAGGTATATGAACAGCCTGGGAGGAGGTGAAGTATGATTTTTGGCAGGGTTTACATCAGAGAAATAAGTAGACTGGGTAGACGCCAAAACCGGACAAATAGTGGCCATGGTTTAATGACCGGGAATGAAGGGTTAGTAGAAACGGTGCGAGAAAGCAAGCATTATGTGCAGATGAAGACGCTTCAAGGGAGCCCCTGGCTTGGTGACAAACTCAAAGTGCACAGGGCGATCAGGCAGGCTCAGGTGTGATCATCCAGACATGGTGACAACAGCAAAAGGCTGAGGTCAGACACTTAGGGGTTCATTACGGAAAAGCTGAGAGCGGCGTCCAAGGCAGCTCTGGAGAGCTTCCTACGTGAGGCCCACCTCCCCATCTCCCCAGCGAGGGTCCTGTGCAAGGCGGGCTCTTGCTGGCACTTCCCAGGACCACACCCATCGGAGCACATCTGGGCCCCAACCCGAGTGCTCCGTGCTCATCGCCCAGGGATGGAGAGCAGGGAGGTACCTTCCAAAGAGACTCCGGGCTGAAATGAGTGAACGTGGATCTTGGAGACTGGGTCAAGGCCAGTTTCTCAACCAACACAACCTCTCTACCAGGGTCATGGTCTGAGGACCGTCACCCTCCTTGCGCCAGGTTAGAAGGCCCCGCTCCTGGTGCGGGGAACCTTGACACAGCCCAGCTGCTGCCCCTTTCCCTCCCAATCTTTTCTGGTCTTGGACAGAAGACAAGAAAGGGGCCTCCTGGCCCCTCCAGGGCCTCTGGAGGACATACATGAGATGGTGAGGTGGGCCCCACGTAGGAAGCTCTCCAAAGCTGCTTGGACGCTGCTCCCAGCTTTTCCGTAATGCACCTCTAACTGCCTCTGCATTTGCCCCACGGCTCTTGAGACATGCACCCCACCCTCTCTTGCCTTAGGATAGATTTATTTAAGCCAGCTCCTCGACAGGAGCTCCTTTTTCCTCTTTGCCGGAAGGCTTCACACGAGCCAGTGGACCAGCCTCTGGCTCTCACAGAGATGGCTTCCATCACAGGCCACGTGAGGCAGACAGGGGCTGCAGGGTAGACATGGCAGTTGCTGCCGGCCCCGAGGGAGTGGCAGATGAAGTATTACTAGTGGGGAGGGATACGTCTTTGCCAGGATTGTCATCGATCGAAATTACGGTTATAGTATCGACCACACCGTCATAGCAGGCCCTTGCTTTGGCGTTCGCCATATTCAGCCCACGTGCACATCCCACGCGATGACATCAACTTCATCTACCCATTTTACAGTTGAGAAACGGGGACTCACAGAAGCCAAGGAAAACATCCACAGCCATGAAGCAAATGGTTACGCACAGTGGGGACACCACAATGAGGAAGGGTTCCGTGAAACAAGGGGTGAGCTTTACGGTGGGTTTTGCAGGAATCTCCAGAGTCAGAATCTTGGGAGGACGGGTAAGGATTGCTTAGGATGGTCCTGAGTATCATAGGTTCAGCAAGCAGCAGATCAGATTGATGAGTTGGAACAGAACAGGAGAGGAGGGTGGGTCCATAGATAGAAAGCGGATTACAGTGGATTTGGACTTATTGCTAGAAATAAAATTTGTTATGGACTAAATCTCAGAGAATTAAAAAAAAAAATAGAGGATAGGAGAAGTCACGTATCTGGCACACCTCGATTTAGTTCCCTTTTGTTTCCTTTGACTGTAGGTAAAATGGCCAAACCTCAACAACAAAACACCAAGAATGGAGCAGAGCCTGCCTTCCGGCTGCACCTGTCAAACCAGTAACTGTAGAGCCTCTCTGCTAAGCTGTTTACATTTGGGGGGGGGGCGGAATTAACATCAGTGCATTTCCTCAACCAAAACATTTTTGTTTGAAGCTAAATTTCCCACTAATCATAAAATGAGAAGCCCCAAATATTTGGGGCAATAGGAAGCAAGCATGAAAGATTATTATGGTGGTAATCGTTTTTTTGTTGTTTTTCTCACTGAAGATAGTATGACCTAGAATGCTTGGAAGGATCAAAAACATAATCCACGTAAAGTATTTAGCAAAATGTTTGCAACAGAGTTAGATGCCAGAAAGAAAGTCCATTACGTTTGCCGTTATGATTGTTTTCAGGAGTGGGGGAGTAAATTCTGTACTTAAAATCTCCCAGTTCCTCTGTATAACACAGTCCAATCTTATTAGTGAGGCTCAGAAGAAGGGAGCCCATCATGTTTTTCTCCTTGGATGGTAACCATCTTTGCCACGTTTGCCAGTGAGTGGGGAAAGGTATTATTTTCGGTTTAATTTCCTTCCGCCATGTGTATTTCCTTCAGCGTGAACTGTCTGTGCATTTTACCATGTCTATTCTGGATTGTTTAACCTTATCAACTGCAGCAGTGCCAATTAGATTTAATACTCATTTGTCTATAATAGGTGCTGTAAACATTTTCCAGGGATCATTTGTCTTTTGAATTTACTCATGTTTTCTCTCCATGCAGAAAATTTCTACACACACACACACACACACACACGTGCGCGTACATAGATATGTCTGTCTACAATTTCCTTTTTGGGTTTTAGGTTTCCTGTCTTTCTTAAAACAATCCTGCCCCCCCCCCCCCCGTCAAGGTTTTGCAGCTGTACTTTGCTTTTGCCTTTATTAATCAGCATTTGCCATACTATTTATCTCGACAAAGAACTTCTAAGAACCCTGCCTAATGGCATCAAGGATGTTGGTAAACCCCTGATTAACTCCAGCTCCTGTGTTTCAGCCAGGTGCACATACACTGAACCATCCAACTACACTGCTCACCTGTAACGCTCTCTGAGCAGAAGAGCAATGGAAAAATACAAGAATCCAATACATTTCAACATCCTGCCCTGGGGGGACGTTCTTAGATTACAATAGCCTTCACCAGTTAAGCCACTTGACAACAAAAATAAAATACAGTATTTGCAATCAAGTCTTGTTCTGGCTTAAAGCCAGCAAAGATAAAGAGCCAAAGTACATCAGACAAGAAAGGCGTTTGTCTTTTGAATCATTACTGTAACCTCCAGGTAGGATCAGACAGTGGGACTTTTGTAATTATATAAAGATTACATCCTGTATTTTATTGGTTTAACTAGATCAAACATGAATGCTAGTCAATCCAACTTTCAAAGAGTTTATGTAAGTTCAATCAGCTGCACCCAGACATTATTTCAATGACATTTTCAAAGTCTCTCCATTTCTAGCTTTTTGATTTTTTTCCCTTACAGAAAAATAATTCTTCAAAAGCTTCAAGTAAAGAAAAC